GGGGGGGGGGGGAAGAGATGGGCGGACCCCTGGGGCTCACTGGCCAGCCAGTCTAGATGAATTGGGGAGTTCCAGACTCACTGAGAGACCTGCCTCAACAAACACGGTGGAGGAGAACTGAAGATACCCCATGTTGACTTCCTGTCTGGATCACACACACAGGCCCCTCCTCCCACGCATGCGCACATGCCGCGCGCGCGCGCGCGCGCGCGCGCGCACACACACACAAAGTACCTAGCTGCCTTGGGCAAGTAGGTAACACGCCCTAGGTACAGTTGGTTGTCAGCTCCTGGGAGGAGCTCTTTGGACCACGTCTGTGTCACAAATGCGGACTGCTGCAGAAGCCCAGCCCACCTTGCGGCTGTGGCAGAATTCATAGCCTTCGGGTTTGCATTCATGCGAACGAATCAGGAACTGCAGCTTGTATTTCTCCAGCAACTTTTCTGTCACATCAGGCCCGAAGTAACAGCCTCCTCCTCGGACAGTGTTGGTCTTGCAGCCCTCTTGGGCCATGGGATCGCTCCACAGAATATCTACAACCTAGGAAGACCAAGGTACATATCCACTCAGTCATTCACAGGAAAAACAGAAGGAGGTGGAGGAAGAGGGTGGGGAGCAGGAAGCCGAGGAGGGAGGGAAAGAAGGAAAAAGTAGGAGGAAATGAATAAATTTCTATGCAATTAATATTTGACACATTTGTATTTTGAAGTTTTATTTGGCCAAGGAGGCCAGAGAGGGTGTTGGGTTCCCGGGAACTGGAGTTATAGATGGTTTTGGGATACCCTATGCATGCTGGGAATCAAATCCAGGGTCCTCTGGAAGAGTGACCAGTGATCTTAGCCACGGAGCCATCTCTCCAGCCCCATGCTTATATTTTGGATGCCGAGGCTGCATTTAAAAAGATTTGTCACATCTTTTTGCTGTTTGTTTTTGTTTGTTTTGAGACAGGGTCTTGCTAAGCAGCCATGACTGTCCTTGAACTCACAGTGACTCTTTTACCTCAGCCTCCCAAGTGTTTCAGACTTCTTGTTGTTTGTTTGTTTGTTTGTTTGGAGACATGGTCTTGTGTAGCCCAGGCTGGCTGAGAATGATACTGAACAACTGATCTCCTGCCTCCACTTCCCAAGGATAGGGATCGCAGGCAGGCAGCTTAGAGGGTTTTGTTTCACGAATGAGTGTGCACACCTATTGACTGGTAAGTACATACCTGTTTTCTTGAACATAAATCTTACGTAGAAGGTCAGCATGTAGAAGAGGTAGCATTGCTGGGGTAACAGCTGGGCATAAGGGCTGCTGTGCTACCCCTGGTCAGAGCCTGCATCCCAGGTCCTTGCACCCTGGCTCCAAAGTGAAGGCAGAGCTCCTGGAAATGGCCGACAGTCTCCCCTGGGGAGTTCACAGCCCTAGCTGTGGTCCTGGAGAAGCTCAAACAATGTTTTGCTTTTTAAAGTAACTTAAGGATTTTGACACAAAGCCGCAGAAGATCTGCGAAGTCTTTCCAGCAGCTCAGGTTCCCTGCTCCTGCTCACACTCAGAGAAGCGTTTTCCATTGCCAGTCTTACCCAATGCAGATGTGGATTTGGAGCGAAGACATGTAACACTTTCTGCATGTACTTTTCAGGAAAAAATGCATTTGATTTATAAGTAGCTGCACACGATTGGGTCACGTGTTGCAGAAGGAAAGACTTCCATTTTAAGTTTCAAGTGTAAGCTGGCATTGAAGCCCAGATCAATAACTCTGGGAGAGTGTGGCATCTGTTCCTCACCCTCCTTTGTCCAGCCAGTGGCTACTTCTGCTCACTTTAGCTTTCAAAAGATTCTGAATTCTTTTCTTTATTGGATGAACTTTATGAAACTGCCACTTTTGTAGATGACAAATGATGACACCATCAAGTTTTCATAGCTCTGTAACTGCCCAAGACCACCAACATTATCTCCAACCTGGTCACCAGGTGTGCTGATAAGTTTATGTCACATGACACAAGCTGAGAAAATGCCTCTCTGAGACTGGCCTATAGGCAAGTCTGTGGGGTACTGTCTTGATTAATAATTCATATGCCAGACCCATCCCACCCAGAATGTCACATAAGGAAACAGCCTGAGCATTCCATGGGGAGCAGGTCAGCAGCCCGCCATGGCCTCTTCATCAGCTGCTACCTCCAGATTCCTGCCCTGTTTGAGTGCCTGCCCTGAATTTCCTCAGTGATGGACCATGATGTGTAAGCAAAATAAACCCCTTTTTTCCCAAGTTATTTTTGGTCGTGGTGTTTAATCACAGCAATAGAAACCCTAACTAAACAGCAGCCAGGTATGGTGGCGCATGCTTTTAATTCCAGCGCTTGGGAGTCAGAGGCAGGTGGATCTCTGAGTTTGAGGCCAGCCTGGCACATGGTGAGTTCCAAGACAGCCAGGGCCACAGAGAGAAACCCCCATCTCAAAAAAGAAAAACAAAACCAAAAGCCTAACTGAGACACCAGGCTGGCCATTTCAGGGGCCTCCCTGACATAGCCTTGCCCCTGTAAATGTCTCTTCCCCTTTTTTCCTGAGTCTCCCATTTTGGCAAGTGATGGGCCACACTGTGCAGTGCATCCTTCTTATCTGCCTGTTTGTTTTCATCTGTCCTGACAGAATGAGTGTGTTTGGGGTAGCCATGTGTCCAGCTATACACACTTTTCCAGACTCCCTTGCAGCTAGGGATGGCCAAATGACAGAGTTCTAGAGAGCTGGGGCAGCCTGTACTTTCCTGAAAACAGGGCAGAAGCTACTGCCTGGTTCTTTTGGCCTTGTGCTGAAGCAGCCAGCTTCCTCCATAAAATTAACATGGAAAAGAATCCACTGAGTGGTACCTAACCTGCATCCCTAGCTGATGCCAAATCCTGGAAGAGGTATTCTTGGGCAACAGCCTCTCCCCAGCAGCCTCTCCCCACTCGTTACAAAACATTAACATGAGTTATTAAACAAAAACTAATGTCCTTCTGGAGTTTTAAAATTCTTGATAGAAAGAGGGACCTTGGTAAACCTCCTTCATTTATACAGTGGTTTTGATATGTTGGTCCCCCAGACGGCAGGCATTCTGAAGAGACAGCAGCGAGCCACACCTACCTGCTTCCACTCTTCCGGAGTGGGCTCCAGGACCCCACCCGCATCAGCATCACAGTCGGTGTCCGGGGCCAAGGGCTCCCCCTTCTCCCTGATCCTTGGGAAGCCGGCTTGCTCCCGGCACCGCTCCAGCTCCAGGTCCACCGAGCGGCGGCCCTGCCGGGACTGCCCCTTGTGGTCAACGCAGGGAATGCTGCAGGACCGGCAGGCTTTGTGGGCCTTAAAGCCAGAGCCCGGGTGAAAAGGCGAAGAGGGGAGAGAGCGGCTTTGAGGAAGGAACCACGGAGTAGGTCTCTGTCCAGAGCTTGTCGGGGTGACTTTCCTCTTCTGCTCCCGGTTCTCACTTTCCTTTCTCATTTTGCATCTCAAGGTAGAAACAATCTAAACGTGTTCAAAAATAAATAAATAAACAAACAAACAAATAAATACACATATACATGCACGCGCGCGCGCACACACACACACGTGTACACACACACGTGTACACACACACACACACACACACACACACTTGCAGGAATGAAATGCTAAGTCCTTTCAGACTACCGTTCCGGCATCCCAGGTCCTAAACCCTGGAGTCCACAAACCGTGCTGCTCTGTGCACTTTTCCTGAGCTGAGACAAGCCAGATCATGACAGCAACCCTCAGAACTTCGAACAGCAATCCCATGTGGCCACCACAATTCAAACATGTGATTGGCAGGCTTATATCTTTTTGTTGTTGCATTTCATGTTTAAATTATTCATATTTAACATACTTTTTGCAAACACACATACTGACATTTTGTATCTCCAAAGGAAAACTGTGCGCTATGCGAGTCACCCCCGTGTGTAGCGAGCCCATGCTGTCCACCCATCCGTCATGTAGCCTAGGTTTTCTGGTGGACAGTCGCAGCATTACCAATAAGGGAACCCTTCTTTTGCTTAATAATGCCGGCAAATGGAACAGTAGCAAATGCAGAGTCGGGACCAGAGCATAAAACATGGACGGGCAAGATCCTGCCTCTGACATAGGGCTCTCAAGAGAAAAACAAACAAACAAAAAATCTCTTCTGTGCGGGGTTTGGCGCCATCTGCTGGAAGTCCTGGATTGCGTGGGTTGATAGGCTGGTGTAGAATAGAGAAAGGCGGACTTCTGCAGGACAGGTGACCGGAAATGCTGTGATTCTACCGGCCGCAGAAGGGGGCCGTCACCGACTCAGTCATCCTGGTGCTGGGACCGAGTTGAAGAATAAATAGAATGCAGTTCTCGGGAAAGACAGGGGTCTGACTCGGAACTGCGTGGCAAGATACACAAAGACAACCATCCCTGGAGCCGAGGGCTACCAGGAAGGCTGAGGAGGCTAAGAACTCTGTGAGTGTATGTGCACAGAATGGGGGGGGGGGTGTCCCCCTCCCTCCCCGCGCAAATAGGTGCAGGAACCGATGTACAAAAAAAGACCCATCCCAGGGTTGACTGGCTTAGGACAAGAGCAAAGAAAAGTCCTGGAGAGGGTCAGCGGGACGAATGTGCCCTGAAAAGAATCCACTCTGCGTGGAGGTAATGAGGCTGTACAGACATTGGACAGGAGCTACCCAATTGATCCTTTCCTAACAACTGGGGGGGGGGGGTTGAGATCACCTAGTCAGCCCCTTCTCACTGCATTCTCACAGCAAAAGTCAGTCATCACTGACACCCCTGTCACCTCTCAGGCAACTTTAACAATTCCATCACCCGCTCCTAGAAGTGCCTCTAACTTTGATTCTTAGGGAAACTTCAGGTTCCAGTGTTTTGAGCGTTTTTGGTAGGTGAGGTGAGGTGCTACTTCTCACAATTTTCGTAAGTCAACCCACGTTCTCACCAGCTCTATGGGAGCATCATCATTTACAGACAGCCAAGGAAACTGAGACACAGAGAAACCGAGACTCTTCCTGCACCCGATCCAGTTAGTCTGACTGGAGCCCTCCCACCTCCCCCCACTCTGCCCCCAGGGGCTCCCCAGGCTCCCCAGGTTGTACAAACAGCTGCACCAGCCCTGCCACAGAACTTTACCAACCAAATGTTCGGGAGTTAACATGTGCTAAGCCATGAAAATAAACTGTTCCTTTGACTCTTTCCAAAGTTCCTCCACTTCTGTGTTTTCAGGGTTACACACGGTTCTCCCCGTGAGATAACTGGCTCTCCTGCGGCTTGCTGTCTCTATCTCCAGATGGAAACACAGCTGAACAGAAGGTTTGGACTCAAAGTTTGTGAAATATCAAGCTTGAAAAAGACAGGTGCCAGGCAACATGCGGATTTAACAAGGGAAACAGGAAGAACTGATTGATAGGTTCTAGGGCCCTACACTCTCAATATAAAGGGGGAGGGGGAGGGAGAAAAGAAGAGATGGGTGAGAGGACCAACTAAAACTAAGTATGGGGGCTGGAGAGATGGATCAACATTCGCCCTTCTTCCAGGGGACCCAGCTTCAATTCCCAGCCCCCACATGGTGGTTCAGTCATCTGAAACTCCAGTTTCAGGGGTCCAGTGCCCTCCCCTACCTCTGCAAGCACATTCATACATGTACATACATGCACATACATACATGCAGACAAAACACTCAAAAAATATCTGATTTTAAAAATTAAGTGTGAAGGCTGAAGAGCTGGCTCAGCAGTTAAGAATTAACATCACTTGCTGCTCACGTTTGGCCTGGAGTTCAGTTGCCAGCATCCACCTTAGGCAGCTCACAACCACCAGTAACTCCAGTTCCAGGGGATCCAGCGCTATCTTCTGTCCTGCACAGGCTCTCACACTGCCATAAAAGTCTTTAAACATCAACCACCCCTGAGTATGTGTGCAAATGCCATAAGGAAACCTGCAGCTTTAAGGCTGAAGCTGGGCATGGTGGTGTACACTTGTAATCCCAGCACTTGGGAGGCACAAGAGGAGGATCACAAACTGGGGGCTAGCCTTGACTACACAGTGAGCTCTAGACCAGCCTTAAATTAACAAACAAACAAACAAAACAAAAACAAACATTAACGGCTGAGATGACCAGAAGACAGTTGTGAGCCCCTGAATGCTACAGAGCTCTTTCTCTCTTTAGCATTTGCTAAAGAATGTATCTTTTTCCTCTTCGAGCATTGGGTTGGGGACACAGGGATGTGTAACTTGTCCCTTGGCCACCAAATCCCAAGAAGCCGTACCCAAACCTGATAGGTAGAACCTGAGTACAGAAGCCTTGGACTCTGAGGCAATGTATGCATGCAATGAGCTCCGTGTAGCTCTGTGCCGTGAGCCTGGTTCTGTGTGTTGAGGAAGGGTGTGCGTAAGTTTAGGAGGTCAACAAGACAAACTAAGTCAGTGTTGCCAACCTAACTTAGTCCTGTTTCTAATCTCTGTCTCTCTAGTCTTCAGTAAGGGTCGTGCACTCTGGGATAAAGAGTGTGTTCGCAAACTTCCCTTTCAGGTAAACATAGACATTTGACTAAGTTCTTGTCAATTAGATCAGAAGAGAAATGCTGAGTGCCATGGGATGTCCATAAAAGAAAAGAGCTCTTTCTTCTGTTCTTCTTAATTGGCTAGGATGCGACCACAATGACTGGAAGGAACTCAAGCAGCCATCTTGGATCATGATGCACTGTGGCAGGCTAGCAAGAATTCCAAGTTCCTAAGACTGCGATGTTGCTACAGACCTTCGTTTACACAAGAGATAAATATTTAACAGAGACCTTTGGAACTTTCCGTCACCTCAGCCAAAGGTAAGCAGCATTTTATAAGGCATGTGTAACATATTTAAATTGAATCTTCACAGTGCCAACAATATAGTTTATTCATATCCCCATTACGCAAGTTAAATCTAAGGTCATGTTAAGTTAGCTTGTCCAAGGCCACAAATTCTAAGCAGAAGAACTGGAGTTTTTATCCCTTTCTGCCTCACTTCTCAGGCCAGGCTTTGCTGACTCAGGCAACACTTTCTTTCTTTTAAATAATCTATTTAACTTTATTTTATGTGTGTTGGTATGAAGGTGTCAGATCCCCAGGAACTGGAGTTAGTGACAGTTGTGAGCTGCCGTATGGGTGCTGGGAATTGAACCTGGGTCCTCTGGGAAAGCAGCCAGTGCTCTTAACCACTGAGCCATCTCTCCAGCCCTCATGTTCTTACTTGAACATCTTTGTGGCAAAGAGTATCATTCCTCCCAGATCTCTCTCCCGATTCTTTGTCACAGGATGCAAACTGCAACTTTCTTGCTGAGCAGATGGCCAACCATAAAATACTTTGTTTCCAACTTCTCTGCAAGTGTAGGGGTCCCATGTAACCACGGTCTGATGAGGGGGATCAAAGTGGAGACCCTGCAAGTTCTGGATTGTTTTGGAAGGGGCAAAGCCTCTGTATTCCACACACACACACACACACACACACACACACACACACACACACACACACCCACAACACACACACACACACACACACACACACACACACGGCCCGCCCCCCTTGTCTGGGAGGACATGGCAGCATGTTTTCTTGGCAGTACAGATCCCTAGGATGATTCTCTAGACAGTGACATGGAACAAAGTTTGCCATGTCACCGATACCTGAAAATTCCAAGACTCAAAGCCAGTCCTGACTCTCAAACTGTGTGCTGTGGTGTATGTCCACAGCCACTGGAGACATTCAGAGTCAAGGCAGTACATTCTGTAGTAACAAGTTCCATGTTGTTGGAATGGTCAGGAAAGCGCCACAGAGGTGGCCATGGGACAGTTGGAGGATAGATGCCTGACATACCGTGAAAAGTTTAAGAGTCTATTATGAGAAGAATACAAAGCCTTTGTTTTCCAGGCCTCTGTTTCTAAAGTGAAATGGACAATAGGAAGCTATTGTTCATCAGCTATAATCCACTCCTTGTCACATTCTCTACCTCCTCTGCCGGCACACAGAGCTGTTGTAGGCACCTGAAGAACAGACAGTCTCTGGATCATTTTCATATCTCCTTAGTATTGTCTTTGCACATGGCAAGCAAGCATCCTCCCTGACCATGCTAGGTGCTGAATACACCTGGGTTGAATTTAGTTAGATGATTCAGATATAAATCATTTGGGGATATAAATTATTTGAGAAACAGAGGCTCTTTGGGTGATGGTATTAAGGGACAATTAATTAGAATCATCTAAATCAAGGATGGCAAACACACAGCATTGGCTGCCACTCCTCTGTTTTGTGTCCATGACAGACATTGCTAATGGATTACAGCACACTTGCTCCCTGTGAACCCTCAGCCCTTTCTCCACATTCTCACCAGTTACCAGGCAAGGTGACATTTATTTTACATTGACAGTGTGTCTAGACAGAACGTGAGATTTGTATGGTCTCATGAATCAGTACCTTGTGCCTGTCTAGTTTAGCCAGAAGTTCCAAGTCAGTCCTGTCTGAGACTCCGCCATGAAGAACCAGGACTTTCTCATCAACCATTGTGGCCAGCGGAAGCCAGCAGAAGACATCTTGGAGTGTCCTCAGGATTTTCTTCCCATGTATCTGAGAAATGATACCGACAATACATTCAGCATCACAGAGCTCAGTCTGAGGGAGAAGAAAGTTTGGCTTGGAAAGGGGCACACCTTGTATTTATCCATCACTTCCTTGGTGAAGCCGTATCTGGACACAGAGGCAAAGCACACAGGAAGATGCATTTAGTGACAGAAGTCATGGCGTGACCACATTTTATAAAAGTGCTTATTCTATTTTTGTGCCCTTAGAATACATAGAAAAAAGAGAGATAGAAATCATCATCAAGAAGTTTACAATTTCGCCATTATTTCTGGGAAAAGAAATTATGAGATGTTTAAATTCTATTCTTTTTGTTTATCTAGACTTACTACTTCCTCTGAGCGAATCCTTATTGTTTACAAGTTAAAATACTAATATGCTAAAAATATGTTCTTATTACAATAGTAAAATAACATGGAATTTTAAAAAGTCTTTTAAAATATTATATACTGTGTGTTCTTTTAGAAATTAGAAAACTTTTTTTTTCCTGGTAATTGAACCCAGGGCCTGTGCATGCTGGACAAGTGCTCCATCACTGAACTACAACCTTAGCCCTAGGAAAACTATGTTTGAAAGGCATCTAAAGCAAGGACTGTAGAAAAGTAACTTTTTGCAACTGAAAGCAAGCACCCAACAGCCAGCGTGTCTGGGCCTGTACCGTAAGTTCAGGAGGTGATCCTCATGGTTTCCTCTGTTAAGATGGAACTCTTTAGGATAAACCAACATGAAGGCAAACAGCACCATTAGGACCTCTACTGAGTCCTTGCCCCGATCCACGAAGTCACCGTTGAACACGTACGCCCTCTCTGGCGATGGTAGACCGTTCTTCCATCCGAAGATGAGTCCAAGAAGAGGCAGACAGAGGAGGAGGAGGGGAAGAGAACATTATGTTAAAGGCAGCTGTGTCAGGCAGAGCCAATCCTGTGATCCTCCACACGGCAACACCAACCAAAAGGGAAATGTTTCCCGTTGTGTTATATTTCCTTTCTAAAGAGGCTGAGGATAGGAGACGCCCATCAAACTGACATTTGATGCACAGACACGGCGTTGCCATGTGGGGTGAACAAAGGATACTGGTCTTGTGACATGGAAACCACTTTTAAGTTTCAGGTACTTAAGGACAATAACAAAAATAGTCATAGGCTGGAGAGATGGCTCAGTGGTTAAGAGCACTGACTGCTCTTCCAGAGGACCTGGGTTTAATTCCCAGCACCCACATGGCAGCTCAAAACTGTCTGTAGTTCCAGTTCCAGGGGATCTGACACCCTTACACAGGCATACATGCAGACAAAACACAAAATAAAAATAAATAAATCATTCAAAAAAAAATAGTCATACTGACTGCCATGGATTCATAGAGATTAAATAAGATAATACCAGGCTGAGCAAGCCAGCCTGTAATCCCAGCACTTGGAAGGTGGAGGCAGGAAGGATCAGAAGTTCAAGGCCAGCCTGGTCTATATGAGACCATATTTAAAAAAAAAAAAAAAAACTAAAAAAAAAATTATACATTTTTTATTATATGTTATTTTTTATTATATATAATGATTTTGAAATACAGTAGATATACAAAGTAATATTGTACTAATAAAATATTAAATATGCATGGTTGGTTCCATAGCAATCTTCTTTATTTGGAAAAATAGAAAATCAATTGCTTAATAATGATTCCAAGTGTTTATCAATATAACATTTGAGTTTGCCTAAATTTTACAAAAAACAACATAAAACCACACACACACACACACACAAAACAAAACCCAGAACCAAAAGCAAAGCTGATTTTTGTATCATGTCTTATACATACACATACGTCATTTAAAATAATATTTTAAAAATCTAAGCGATTGGGGCTGGAGAGATGGCTGAGCAGTTAAAAGCACTGGCTGCTCTCTTTCAGAGGACCCAGGTTTGATTCCCAACACCCACATGGAAGCTCACAACCATCAGTAACTCCAGTTCCAAGGGATCCAGCGCCCTCTTCTGGCCTCTATGGGCACTGCATGCATGTGGTGTGCTGAAATACATGCAGGCAAAAAAAAAAAAAACCCATAAAATAAAAATAAATCTTTTTTTTTTAAATACAGGCTATGTAAAGCATTTGTGTAATGGAGAACATATCTGAACTTTTAAATTAAGCCTCAGAGCAAGAAAGTAACTTACTTTGAATGTTCATACCTTATAAAATATAAAAATTAAGTCGTCCAATTGGCCATGTAAATCTCCTAACAGAGAAAAAGAATATTAGTTCACACTGACCCTTCTTTAACAAGAAAAATACTGTGCCTGGAAGACCTGACCAAGTTAAGAAACCAACAGATACTAATCTGGGGACAGTGGCTGTCATTTCATCTCGCTGCACATGGACTTAGTAAAGCACACGATTCTCACCAACAGTGAATTATCCAAATTGTCCCTGAAGCAAAGACGGCAGAGAATAATCCAGGGTGGTAAGGGGTGAGAGCTGGGGACCTCGCCCCACTTCAACGAGAAGGTGCCACTGTGCATTTCGGGGCCAGTGTTGGGAGATTGTTCAAGAGAAGTTACCAAGGCTATACCTAACAAGAAATCTCCTGTTCACGTGTTGAAACAATGATTTTTAACTTTCAGATGTTTGCAGGGTGAGGAAGACATATCCGCTGGACCAGTTCACAACCTGTCGTGTGCATCTGTCTCAGCTGGAGTGTGGCTTCTGTGCTCATGGATGCTGCTCAGCAAATGGAGAAGACTGGCTGCTGGGTTCTCCACGGGAGACGTGTGTATGGATGGAAATAATAACGCTATAAGCCTTGGAATTTGCTCGAGCACCAAGGAATAAAATGTCTGCTCACACAAAAGGCTGGGTGGGGTTTCTTCGTTTGTTCTTTGCTGTTGGTTGGCTATTGTGGTGATTTTATTCTCAGTATGGAAGGTGAACTCGGAGTCACTATGAATTGCTTCTCTGAACCATGTCTCCTCTAAGTAAGCGTGGGACAACTGTGTGCATGGTCAGCTGAAGGAGAGGCGCTTTGACCTGCTCTTCACACACCATCACGCTCCCTCCGGCTCAGCTCCTTCTCCCGGAGCTCTCTCGTGTTTTCTGGTTTGTGTCTATTCAGGGAAGGCAGCTCGCATGGGCGGGCGGGCACTTACCGCACACTGTGATCTCCTCGCTGTAACAGGTAGAGACCCGGTTGATGTTCGGCAGCTGGGCCAGGTGTTTCCTGGTCTCATACAGAAGATTCAAGACATAGCGAGCGTGGAGCTGCTACTGGGAGGAAGGAAGAGTGGGAAGGGAACAACACCAGTGGCCCCACTTTTGCCGGTGGATGCCCAGCCACCCCAGACCCCAAAGGGAACCCAGGAAACCGTGGATCACTCAGCTGTTTTCATTTCTACTTTTCTTCCCGTCTGTGAACAGAGTCACCTCCTCTCTCCTGTCTAGTCTATAAAACTCTTTGCCCTTAGGGAGCAGTGCGTATCCGCAGTAGCAAAGCATGAATTAGCGCATACATTGATAGTGTAGACTGATCCTGCTGTTGCTTAGAAACAGCACCCCAGCTCCTACCCGGCTTCCATCTTGTCGAAGAGCGGAAAGGACTGGGGTCTAGGCACCTCTCAGAACTGAACCGCTTCTCACCAGTTCTGCGCTGGCCATGGGGGTGTCAAACCAAGACAGGGTTTTGCTTGGACCTTTGTCTCCTGACAGGTCTCCCTGCCTCAGCCCTCCCTGCACGCCAGTCTCAGCTCAGCAAGCACTATAATGTTATCATTACTCCAGAGAGGTTCTCACGGTGAATCCCTGCCTGTCCCGGAACTCACGATCTAGACCCCAGCTGGTCTTGAACTCACAGGGATCGGCCTGCCTCAGCCTCCCAAATCCTGAGATTAAAGGTGTGAGCCACCGCGCCCCACTACACAGGGACGAATTTGAAGAGCTGCGGGAAGGCCATTCCTGTGCTTCTGCCTCTGCATCTCTAGTCGTCCCCTTGGATTCCTCCTTGCTAACCACAGTGGCCTTCCCGGGGTCCCGGAACAGTCAGTCCACGGAGATCCTTCCTCAGGGCCTTTGCCCTTGCTGCTCTGTCTGGAATACTCTGTTCCCAGATAGCTCAGGTGTATCCCTCACCACGCCGGACCTTTGCTCAGGCATCTCCTTCCCAGACGCGGTAAAACTGCCTCTCTCCTGGCCTCTCTTCCACAGCTCTCATCTGTGCTACCACACACTGACTGATTAGTTTAGTCCTTGTCTTCCTCTACCACCACCGTGTTAGCGGCAGGACAGCTGCAGTACCCGGATGAGCGTGAGCATCCCGGAAGCCCTCACCAGCTGCCTGCAGGTTTCCGTCTTAGAGACCGGGCTGATGGACCGCAGGAGCCTGGCTGTATTTCCGGGGCTGGTTTGTTCCGCCCTTACTCATGAATACAGATCGGTGGGGACCCGCACCCCAGCTTAAGCTTACTTGTCTCCGCCTGAAAGCTTCCACCAGGGCGGTGGCATGGTCGGGAAGAAGGGGGAAGGAGAGATGTGGCCCGGTGTAGCTGTCGGGCACCTCTATGGATCCATAGTCACCGCCCTTCTCCGTCTCCACATCCTCGGCGAATCTCTCCTCGGTGAACATGCGGTTCAGGAAGTCCCCTAGTCCAGACACAGAGGGCAAAGGCAGGCCAACTTAGCATCAGACCTCGTGGGACTGTTAATGCCGAGGGACCCCGCCAGCCTGGCGCTGGCTCCAGCCCAGGATACGACAGGGAAACCGAAGTGAGAGGAGTAAGGGGCACAGGAGGAAGGTTGTGTTTCTGTGTCAGTACAATCATTAGTTGGTATCTAGTCTACATTTACTTTTTAAAAATCACCAGAAAACGGTGATGGAGAGGCGATGGCTCCCAGTTAGGAATGCTCGATGCTCTTCCAGAAACCCTGACTTAGATTCCCATCACTCTGGCATCTCACAAAGTCCTGTAACTCCAGCTCCAGGGGGATCTGGTGCCCTCTGCTGGCCTCCTCCGGCACCTGCACTCATGTGTGCATACACACTTTTACATGTGATTTAAAACATATCTATTTTTTTTTTTTAATAATCAAAAGGTTGGTCAGAGAGAGTCCAGAAATGCAGAGGCCTGTGAAGGCAGGAGGAAGGTCAGAACAAGGCCAAGGAGGAAAAGATTCTGGGCCATTCACTTTGTTCAGTGGGCACAGCAGGGGTTCAGACTGTTCCCAGCACTGCAGCCTCCTCCAGCTGCCAGCCTCTGAAGGTCCAGGCCAAAGGTTTCCCTCCTGGACTGCAGGGGACCATGAGGGGCAGGCCAGAAAGACTATGAAGGCAGCATCCCCCCATCCTTCTCTCCAGGAGGCCTTCAATTAGGGACTCCCAGGCTGACATTGCCCCCAAGGTCCTGGTGTCTGGAGGCTCCTTTTTCATTATTTCCCAGGCCTCCCGAGTTGCTGGCCAGCAGTCTACTCTCCATTTCCTGCATCTCTCTCCAGCCTTTCCATCCTGATCCACTTTCTCCCACCTCCAGTGTTTCTTGCCACTTAGAAAACCAACTCCTGGGGCTAGAGAGGTGGCTCAGAGGTTAAGAGCACTGACTGCTCTTCCAGAGGTCCTGAGTTCAATTCCCAGCAACCACATGGTGGCTCACAACCATCTGTAATGAGATCTGGTGCCCTCTGTTGGCCTGCAGTCATACATGCTGTATACATAATAAATAAACAAATCTTAAAAAAAAAAAAAAAGAAAAAGAAAACCAACTCCTTGCACTTAAAATCTTGTCTCTAGGAATGTTTATAGGAGAGCCTAAGCGAAAAGTTTACTCTGTCATTCATCTGCTGACCATCTCACTCAATCTTGACCTCTCCCCAGATTCCTCATCCATTCTCTGTGTAACCCCACCCACCTTGCCCCTGTGATATTCAGACAGAAGACCATGTCACATGACAACTCATACTCACTCTCGTGGTGGCTGCTGGGCGTGAAGTGATCCACAAGGTAGCTAAAGAAATCATGGAGCTGTGGGAAAACCAGACAAGGCTAGCTTTAAAATACCAGGGAAAGAGAATCCAGGAGTGATCCAGATCAGCTGAACCTTCCAGCACCAGGCCAGCCGCCGGGGCTGGCAGGCAGTTCCCCCTCCCTGCTGGCATCCCCACGCACCTTGACCTGGTCTTGCTGTCCAGCATACTCTATAGACTGGAAGATGTTCCAGGTACATCGCCGCCTCATCTCCAGGCGGGCCATGTAGCGCCGGTACCATCTCTGGATCAGGGCCGCTGCCTTGAAGGCTGTAAGCCAGATGAAGAGACAAGCCCATGAGCAGGGACCCCCAGAGATGGAGCAGGAAGCAGGGGAGGGTGGTGTGCAGACCCTGCCCCATTGTACAGACGGGCACAAGATGGCAGGGGCAGCACCACCCAGACATGCCAGAAGGAAGCATCTATCTTCCTGTCGGTCACAGAGGTTTGTCCTCCACGCCCGTCCCACCATACCTCCAAATTCCTGCCACGGCTGATGGATGGTACTACCAGTTTATTGGGTTCTCACTTCTTGAGGTTTTCACCTCACCTTGACCCCTGTCTGAATGGAGACCTTTGCAGTTACCTGGTGGATGCCTGAAGCCAGGAATAGTAATGACCCTACCTATCTATGCTCTTTTCTGTTTTTCATTATTAAGTCAAGAAAATTCACCTTTTCACCTAAAGAAACACCTTCCTGCTACCCTTAGGAACATCGGAGTAACTGCATCTGTATGCTGTATTATTATTGTAGGCCCATAGCTAAACCAAAGATGGACTACTTGACAAGAAACTCTGTGGGGCTAAGAACTGGCTCAGCAGTTAAGAGCAACGGCTGCTCTTGCAGAGAACCCAGGTTCAGTTCCCAGCACCATGTGGCTGCTCACAACTGTCTGTATTTCCAGTTCCAGGGGATCTGATACCCTCTTCTGGCTCTGAAGGCACCGAACATTTATGTTGTAGAATATTATTTAAACTAGTCACAAAGATGTGTTCATTTGTTTGTGCTGCAGAACATTACTTTAACTCTGTGGAGGTGTGCTACATTTGTTTCATGATGTAAGAATACGTTACACTTGTTTTGCTGCATTTGTTTATGAAAAGATGTGTTACATTTGTTTCACCTTGACTGCCTAAGGCACCTGACTGGTCTAGTAAAGAGTTGAACAGCTGGCCAGGTGGTGGTGGCGCAGGCCTTTAATCCCAGCACTCGGGAGGCAGAGGCAGGCGGATCTCTGTGAGTTCGAGGCCAGCCTGGGCTACCAAGTGAGTTCCAGGAAAGGTGCAAAGCT